AACTTACATTTGTTTTATTTGCGTCTGTTGGCGTTTTATTTACCCAACTGTTATCAAACAATATTTTTTCTACACTTGTCGGTATATGTTTGTCGACATACGTCAGCTGTACTGACCGATCGTCCATGTATAAATCAATATTTGATAGAACTTTTTCCTCTTTCAAAATGGACAATAAATGCCGAACTCCAAAACTTAATTTTCTATCCTATCGCACTGATCCTCTGTCAGCTCGTACACAATATCACACCCACAGTTATCGTCGGCAACCAGAGTAATAATTGATTTTTTTGGTAAATTTTCCTTTAACCACAACATTTTGGCGAATAATGTTTATTTTCCGAAAAAAAATCACAGAACAAATTATTCAGGATAAAAATGTCTCTGAATCTAATGCCGGCAAAAAATGCTTATGGTCTTTTTTTTAAACACAACTGTAATTTTGTAAACTGACAGATGGATGCATTCAAAGAAAGATTCATCCATCTGTCAGTTTACAAAATTACAGTTGTGTTTAAAAATATCCCTTTTGTAAGTGATCGAATGAATTTCATCAGTCACATTTTTTGTTTACTCGAATTCAATTGTTACACTCATTATTTTTGTTCATCTAGTTATACTAAATTTTTTTGTGCAACAATGTCGCGTTCCTATGAACTGGAAAACCATTTGTACCAGCACAACTTGTTGAAGGCTGATCAGCCATATCAAAGTCGTCTTTTCCGCTTTTATTTATTGTGTTTTGCTAGAATTATAAACAGTCTATGTATTTCGGATGGATATATATTCGAGATATTTTAGAATATCTAGATATTCAACGCAACTGCACAGCGCCAGAGCTGTGTGCGTCGCAAATAGAATCTACGGTATGTCACTACGTAAATATGTATCAAGTGCCGCACGTACACAATTATAATACCGTAGATTCTATTTGCGACGCACACAGCTCTGGCGCTGTGCAGTTGTGTTGAATATCCTCGTTAATATACACGTGCTAAATATCAAATTGACAACTTATGTATTTACGTGATACACGGAGCACACTGATACAACTTACCTGACAAAGGTCAATGCATGCTTCTCCTTCTTGTTCGCTAAACTTTCGATTTAAATCGAATCCATCGGTCCGATTATTCACACGATGTTCCTTAGTCTCGATACGAGTTAAATCTGTAAAGCTGAATGATTTTTTTACTGATGAAGACAGTATACTTGGGGACATATTCGAGCTACGGAATTCACCACTGCCACGTCCGAGCTGTGAATTAATCAAAATGAATTAATAAATAAATTGTTGTGTATCAAACTACCTAATACCTTGAATAAAGATGGCGAACACAATGAGATCCGACGAGATGAAACTGGTGATGGGCTTTGTTGTGGCGATACAGCTGGAAATGAAAACTTCTAAAATAATATAGAATAATTATTCTAATTTCAAAATGACCTTATTGACCACAAAAATCGTAAATTTTTTAGTGTACATTTGACGCTCGCTGTTGATGGTGTTTCAGTAGAACACCTAAATGCATTCGATATAAATAAAAGTTTCTAGATTCGGTTGTTTTATTACGATTTTTGCGGTCAATAAGGTCATTTTGCAATTAGAATAAGAACAAACAGACTTTAAATTTTTGTGATTAAATTTTACTACTAACTAACTAGAATAATAAATATATATATAATTAAAAAAATTATTCAACCCTACATTGGTTTTATTTGCGTCTCCTGATGACCATCTGGGTGAAGGCGTTTTATTTAACCAACTGGCTTTAGCTTGGCAATCGGTCAAAATTTTCTCTACACTTTGCAACATATACAATCGGTATATGTTTCTCAACATATGTCAACTGTATCTACTGATCAACCATATATTGATAGGTTTTCGTAGATCATCCAGTTGACATTCCGAATAGTTGAATTCTGCACTTTTTTCGATGATTTCGAAAACGCAATTGATTCAGACGACCGATTTTTTAAGTTTTTATTTTAATTTAATTTGGATTTTCAGTCCTTATTTCTCTCTCAAAACACTTGATATCACATGGAGTGACATGTTTTGGGCACAAACAATCATTTTCTCAATTGTTTGGAGTTTTTTCTTGCCCGGTAATATCCGGCAGACCTCGATACCATCTGATAAGTCACACTTATAACAGTGATTTGATCTGCAGATAAATAATTATCTCTGATAAATAATTAAAACTTTTTTTAAGTTTTTATTTTAATCTAATGATGTCAATAATATTAGAAAAAAATAATATTATATATTATAATATTATATTTTTCTAATATTAGAAAATGATCTAAAATATTAAACATTTCAAACAATGAGACCATTGTTATGTCGAGCATACACAGCGTCCGAGCGAAGAGATACAGTAAATAGCAACTATTTTTAATCGCTATAGCAATAGCTGATATAAATAGCTAGCTAGCAACATTGTATGGTTTCACTATGCAATACAGTGAGGGCGCCAGTGATACGTGTTTTGCAGCAACCCAGTGCATTCGACATAAATAAGAAAATGACAAAAGCGAGATTCATATGTGTTTGCTATATGGTTTGATATTTTTGTGCAGAAAACACAACGGTTTTATATTTTTGGTGGTGATAATCCAAGCTATGGTTGTAATGCACAAAAATATTGAAAAAAAATTATTCCCGTTTTCGACTGTCTTTCTGTCTTTTTACCTTGTTCAATTGTATACAATTTGTATTGTTTCAATAATTTTCATTCAAATTAATTGCATGTGACTTATAAAAATCGTTTACGGAGAATGCGAGAATAATTGCTAATTTCAAACCAAAATTCAGGCTGAATCAAATAAACTTCCATGTCGTTATTGAATTCCATGTCGTTATCTGAACGGCTGTTGTTTAAAAAATGAGGGACCACCGCCAAATGGACAATTCAACAACAATACATGTATGTTATATGAATAAAACGAGTCATTTTATGGTAAAATTATGCCTTTATTATTTCCATTCTTTTGATTTTAAAACATTCAACACTTTTCTTTAAATATATATATTTGTAAATAGTTTTTAATAATTTATTTGTATTATCTTCAATGCTCGATTTTTCTACTTTGTATTTATAGCCAACAATAGACATAAAATGTACTTTTTTCACTTATTTTCATATTTGTTTTTAGTATTGTCAGTGACCAACTGCTAATTTTGTCACGAATTTACATGTGAGTACTTCGAAGTAAATGAAAGCACCTTTTTCAAATAAATAATTTTATTATGGAAATATTCAATGGAATATGATGAATTCCGTTCTTAAATTTGATAGCCTCGCCATTGATGTGATGCAAACCAGAAGAATTTATACGAATTTCGTGTGATGTTAAGATTCTTGTCGTATGCATTTGCAATACATGTTTTTTCTGAATTCAATCTCATATATATTTAATAAACACCAACTGTTTGTGCCTCAATAGATAATAGTTAATACAGTAACCAAAGATTTTCTTTCTCTTTAGTTTTAAGGAAATGTTCGATATATCATAATTTATTGAATTTTACTTATTCTCTATACGTCAACATTGAATACTATTCAAAATATTCTGAAGCGAATTATTCTAAAAACAACGTGCGTCCAATTGGAAAAACGAATATTTTTACTTTATATACCGTACACTTCTCGACATGGAGACTGGTTTAAATGCGGCTGAAACATCACAATGATGAAAAATTGTAGCTTCGAATAATTATTTCGTAAATTTTAAAGAATGTGGTGTTTGTATTACAAAAGAAAGAAGACTCACAATTACTCTCACATTATATTATTATTAATATTTGACCGAGAATCAAAATAAATTTATTGTCAAAATTGAAAATCAAATTGAATGCCTGTTTGACTTCATATTATTGACAACAATCAAATTGAGTCAACTAATACTAATAAGCATTCAAACTTTAAAAATACTGATGTGTTCGATATAGATAAAATTTCGATAGAATACGATTTACTTGACTCACATTTACTACATTCAACAATTGTTTACCAAAAAAAAAAAATCACTGTTAAAACAACAATACATCCGTTATGGAGCTTTCAATTGTGTATGTGGTTCATTTCATCTGTGAAAAATAAAATCGTTTTCCCTTTTAAAATGCAAAATAACTTATTGGCATTTGTGCATCGGAACACGATATTAAATTATAGCTATATCTAAATTAATTAGATGGATATCTGCGTAAATTTCATTATAACTAAACAATTTCATAAATAAATCTGATTGACTTGAAACTTCACATCATTACTATCAATATATGTTTGTTGTAATATCAATAAATTGTTTTCTTCTTAAGAAAATCACATTTAGTTTATCTAAAGCAATGTTTAGAGAACTTTGTTGACCGCAATTTTCCAAATATGTTGTTATATTCATCAAAACATACAAACTGAGTCAGAGCTCGGATTGGTGTACAACTTGAATGATAAGAGACTGTTAATTACAGTGAAACTTCATATATTGCCACTAGCAGTTCCAACTAGCATGGTACAAACTTTAAAGTTTGTTGGTAATTAAAATCACCGAATTCAAAACTTCTTATCATCTGTAGTCAACAATCTCTTGTCAGTATCGCTTCTATTGTACCACACTTTAGCTTTAATCAGAATTTATGTACACAAAATAAAATTTCCACTAAACTGCTTTGTGATTAAATTACATTAATGTCTACGATGATATAGTTTAATTTTCTCTCTAAAATTATTCGGTGAATTTTTCCGATTGATTTCAATAAATCTACTTTCAATTGCGTGGAAAATCATTTTTATTAATCAAAACATTTGTTTTTGTTACTTTTGTTTGAAACAACGACCGTCTTTCTTTTTTTTAAACCTTAAAAAAACCGGAAATAAATTTTCGTTTGAAATTTTACGTTGAACACATTTGAAATTTGATTTGACTTATGCACATTTTTGTTTGTCTGCTGTTGACGCTGTTGCCCTTTATTCGTAATTTAAATAACGAAAATATGATTTTGTTTACTAGTATAGTTTCTTTTTTCTTTATTTCAATATTTGTACAATCAAATGTATTTGTTTTTAGTTGGATTTAAATAATTGATAGAGTGTGATAATAATTGATAGAGTTTGTGTGTGTGTGTTAATAAGTCGTTAACGAAACTAGATTAAAATGAATGTTAAATGATTGATTATTGAAAAGAGGACTGTAATTGTTAAATTAGATGTTTGTTTGGAGCGAAGAAAAGAGGCAGGGGTGGTGTAATATGATGCCAAATTTCGAATCGACTTTTCATTATGAACAAAATGGAATGAAATTAACAGCAAGAAAAATGTGCGCATTTTTGGTTAAAAAGATATTAATGTTTTTTTTTGTGTGTTGTAGTTGTTGAAAGCATGAATTTAGAAGACAGTTCGGTATCGAAAATAGAAGAAAATGAAGCACAGAGATGGCACGACCATTACATAAGCGGCAATGTAAATATCAAATCAAGACTACGTATGAATTTCCATCTAATACCAACACATTGAGTGCCATCACGCATATATAAGCTCGTCACTAAACCGAATGAATCTTTTAATATTCTCTTTTTTGAATGCATCAACATCGTTGAAATTCTTTTGAATACACAAAACCTTTTTGTTTCTTTCATTTTGACCGAATGGTTGTTGACAATTTTTTGAACGATGCCACTTATTGACGAAACAAAAAAAAGGAAGAATATTGTTAGCTTCATCGCATTTTGCGAAGAGTTCAATGTACGATGGCATTTTGTGCAAGTTAATTTGGCGATTAGATGGAACCATAAGACTTCTTGACAACCGTCGATACTCTGCGAAATGAAAATAAGACATATAATTTAAAACGTAAAAACATAAGGAGAAGAGTATCAGTTTTGCTTAAAAAGAATTAAAAAATTTGAAACAACAACTATGGTTCTTTTTTGCTATTTTTTGTTTAAAGAAAATTTTCATTTTTCACAATTTTCTCCCACGTTATTTGTTGTTCCGTGTATTTTATCGTTCTTACTCCTTGTCGTTATTTGATGACTTTAATTCCATCAACTCGTGCGGTTCGGCCTATTTATGTAGAACAGTTGAAGAAACATTTTAAATTTAAAACAAATACGTATTCAATATACAAGTTTTTGAAATACAAATTCAAGTCGATTTTTCAACAAAATGAGACTCACCAATTCCAGTTTTTCTTTTAGATCATTCCGTGATAAATGATCCACCAAAATAGCACCAAGTGAGTCGCACATCACATTAATTGTTGTTCTAAATCGATCACTAGAATTATACAATCAATTGAATTATTAATTCAAAGTCCAGAAGGTGCGCAAAATTGGTGATTTTTGTTCAAAAAATTCATGAATAGCAAACTTACAGAAGCCAATCAACGGCAATGATCAATGAAATATCTTCAGATGGTAGACCCACTGTATCGAGCACCATGACCATGGTAACCAATCCAGCTGATGGAATACCAGCCGCTCCAATTGATGCAGCTGTGGCTGTCACACTGAAATAATGCATTGTCACAATTTAAAAAAAATGTCAACATTTGTAAGCGGTACCATTTCTTACCTGACGGCAACCAAACTTCCGAACGAAAGTCCGACATTTCTCAATTGTGCAATGAAAATGGCAGCAACAGCTTCATACAATGCTGTACCATCCATATTAACTGTTGCACCAACTGGAATAACGAAACGTGTGACTCGCGGATCGATTCCCATGTCGTCCAATGTGTTGATTGTAACTGGCATTGTGGCCGAACTATAAATAAATTCATTCAATTACTCTTCGTTTGTCTCTCGCTCTCTCTCCCTCTCTCTCTCCCTCTCTCTCTCTCTCTCCCTCTCTTTCTCTCTCTCTGTCTATCTGTCTGTCTATAGTCATTTTTTTGTGATAATTTATAAAATATTAACCTTGAACCAGTTCCAAATGCCGTGGCTAAATTTTGGCCCATCTTTGAAATGTATCGATACGGTAATTTTCGCGTACAAATGAAGAATATGACGGCAATTGTGATGAAACCATGGATAAATAATCCCAGCATAACCGTACAGAAATAAGCACCAAGTTTACCAACAATTATGGCCAACGAATCCATTTCGAGGATTTTGGCAACAACCAGAAAAAAGACACCCACCGGTGACAACCTAGACATAATAATCATTATTCAATTTGTAAATGCAATTCTCTTAATAACATTGAAAATGAGATGAAACATTATTTTGTTTCCATACCAAATAACCCAATGTGTGATGATCATCATGGCTTCGCTGGTGGCATACAAGAAGTCAAGCAATGGTTTTCCAGATGAACCCAATTTTCCAAGCGCCGTTCCCAATACCACACTGAACATAACAACTCCAAGAACATTTGTGGTTGCCGTATTCTTTTGCTTAAAATCCCACATATACAAGGGTGCTGAGGTTGTGTATGTATATGTATAATGACATTGCAAAATGTGAGAGGATAAAATATGAATTAGTAACAAATGACATCGAACGTAATCGGAATGATATGGTTTGGATGGACCTGATGACAATGGGATTTTTATATCTACTCAATGAGGTTTGATAAGAACTAATAACCACTGAAAGAACTGTCAGTACGATTGCCGCCAATATAATCTTAGTAT